TTCCTTCCTTCCTTCCTTCCTTCCTTCCTTCCTTCCTTCTCAGTACAACTCTGTGCTTTACATTATTTATTCATTGAGAATATATAAACTGCATTGCATTGTGTAGAGCTTGGTTTGGGAGGTGCATGTGTGCACAGAATTGCAGCCTTAATTCTCAGTCTTCTGCTGCTTCTCTGGAAGGTCAATAGCGATCACCGACTATGCACTCTAGTTCAGACTTTTATCACTGTGGAACATTAATGGAGATTTCTTTGGGTTGGACTGAAGAAAGTAGTTGGAGCAAGCTTGTCCACCTTTCCTATGAGGAGCCTGGGATTTGTTTGGGAGTGCTGATGGTGCTTGGATAGCCATTTTGCCTAAATGGCCAGCCCATTTTTTTTTTTATCTTACAAAAGAGGCAGGGGGTTAAAGTCATCCAAGTTCTGCATTCAGATATGCTTCATATTAAACAAATCCCGAGGGATGAGATGTAGTAGACATGCTGTTCATGGGAGATGCCAATAGGCAGAGGTGGACATGTTTGAGGCTTAAACACAATGTACAAACTGCCTTGTTTTCTCCTCACTGTTAGATTGTGATAAGTAGTTGTCAGATTGATCCTCATCTGGATAGAATATGTGGCAGGAAGATGGATCACTGATGACTTAAGCAATTAAACCAACTGGGATTGGTTTTTGAAGAAAATATTTTCTGGGAAAGCAAGTCTATTCTCTTGCATATATAACTGGGTAATATTTTATTTATAGAATTCTTAATATTTGGAATTTTTTGCTATTCAAAGAAAAACAAAAAGCACAGTAGAAAAATCCCCCCCCCCCCAAAAAAAAATCCTTGGGAAACTGAGGATGATTGTTGTGAGATCCATTTAACTAAATGATCGTGTATACATTTAGAACATTAAAAAACTAAATTTAGTACACCATTTCTTTTATTTACTGGTGCAAACCTTTGCCCTCCCCCAAAGGAACTGTTGCTATAGTTATAAGAATCATAAATTTCTTTACTCTATGAAGCAATTATTACCAACTCTGATTTTTATTTTTATTTTATTTTGTTGCTGTGGAAAGGATTTTCAAGAGGACACTCTGGAGCATGGACAGAGCATTGAAGAGGGACAGTGCTGTTTAGAAGTTTTGTGTGTGTGTGTGTGTGTGTGTGCGCGCGCGCGCGTGTGTACGCATGCACGCACACACACAATTGAAAATTGTGCAGAATTTATCAGTTAATGTCTGAAGTGAAGGAGGTTTAGGAAGACGATTGCAGTATGAGAATAAGGTAACTTTGGTGGAGATGTTGGGAACACCCCGGGGAAAGTGAAAAAGAAAAATATCTTTCTGATGCTGATAAATCATTTTACATTTCTTGTCAAAACTGAGCCAGTTGCAGTAAAAGTGAAAGGCTGCCTCTTTTTATTTGAAGGGATGTCCGATATGTGGCTGTTCTGGTAGACGACCCTGCACCCAGTGCCATGGCCTCACAAGGGTATGTACTTCTAAGTCCGTCTTGCTTCATGTGGAAAGAGTTTGTCCCCCTAAGAATTAAAAAAAAAGATAAAAAAGTTGACATCCTAGGAGCAGTTTGCACTGATATAAATGATAAAAAGCAAGCAGTAGTGCTAATGAAAATATTATGGTTGAAAAGCCTGCTTTCTAGAAAGTCTTATTGGTTCTCTGATGGGTCATTCATCCAGCCCTACTTATCATTATTTGAGGATGTACCCTCCCAAACAAAGCCTCCATCTCACTGATAGTCTCCTGGGGAAGCAGACTGAAGCCTGTTCAAGGCATTCCAACATGGAGAGAGGAATGTTTTTCACAGGAAATGGGAGAAGCTCTCCCACTTGGAGAGTCCGTGGTACGTGGAGGAAGTTCAAGGTGAGCTGGGTAGGGTAAACATCTGCTTTATTACAACTGGCTCACGAGTTCTATCCGCTTTGTACAGTGCTGTTTTGATTGTGAGGGAGATTGCAAACCCAGCTTCCATACTGGTTGCCCTGGAAACTGCGAGGCTCTGAAATTGTAATTGAAATGACTGGGGTCTTATATTTCTATAGGGCATTGGGCAGGGAATTCCTAGTGACTTCCTTCCGTGCCCCTCTTTTTAGAAAAGAACATTCTACCATAGAATGAAACCTGGCACAGAAGTAGCTTCAGCGTGGAACCATATTTTGCCTCTCCTTCTCTTTGAGGGGATGGGAACTATGATTTGCTGTAATTTGACACAGGGATCAAAGTGTTTCTCAGACTCCTGTATTGACTATCTAGTGGTCAGCCAGCCATTTTGAGAAACGAGGTGAATGAACTCAGGTGCACCCCACAATTGGATGTGTTTCTTACACACTCACCAAATCCCTTTCTTGAATTCCATCTGCAAGAAGACTTAGCAGCAGATTTATCTCAGCTGCACAAATCCAGGTGTCCATTCTTTTGCAGTTAAGACTTTTTTAAAGAACTTTTTGCCATCTAGTGGTAATTACTTTAATAAATCCTTTGGGAAAAATCCCAAAAATTCTTTTTCAAGAGGCAACTGGATTTTCTGGTTTTTCTTTGAAGATGTTTCACTTCCCATCTAAGAAACTTCTTTTTTTTTTTTTTTGAAAAATTTTTTATTACTTTTTAAGACAAACATAGAGAAACACAACATAAAAACATCAAGCCATCTTCCAGATATGTACATACAGTGTGTCGGTTGGTTTACAAATTGTTTTGTGCATCCACTTCATAGTCATCACTTACAATTACTTGTATATGTTCTCATATTATCTATCAAATATTCCTAAATACATTGATATCATTATTAATCAATCATTTGACTATACTATTATTCATTCATGTTTTGCAAGATAATCCATATTTTAATTGATTTATTTTATGACAATTCATATTATCACCCCAAATCTATTCCATAATTATATTATGATTATAATAAAGATAATACATCTTTATATGTTCTTTATATTCTAAAAATCTACATATTTCATTGCCATGTTTTATTGTTTAACCATTGATAAAATAAATCCCAAATCTTATAAAATTGCTTACTTTCTTGTTCTCTGATTTCAAATGTCAATCTACTCATTTGAGCACATTCTATTATTTTCTTAATAACTTCCTCCTGTGTTGGTATTTTCTCATTTTTCCAGTTTTTAGCAAATACCATCCTAGCTGCTGTTAATACATTTACAATCAAATATTTCAATTCTTTACTGTATATTTCGAGTAAAATTCCCAATAAAAATATCTCTGGTTTCAAGTCTATGTGTTTTTTTTGTCATTTTTTTCCAACCATGTGTGGATTTTAGTCCAATATCTTTTAGCATCTGCGCACGTCCACCACATGTGATAATATGAGCCAGGTATCTGATGACATTTCCAACATTTTTCAGATTTGTTCTTGAACATTTTTGCTATTTTTGTTGGGGGTAGATGCCACCCATAAAACATCTTATACAGATTTTCTTTATATGCTGTTGACATTGTCATTTTATAATTTTGCGACCACAATTTTTGCCATTTCTCTAAATCAATCCCATATCCAAAATTTTTCCCTCAAGCAATCATTGTTTCTTTGACTTGTTCTTCTTCTAGCTTAATTTCTAATAAATATCCATACAATTTTTTAATTACCTTTTCATCAGTACCTGTCAAGATCTTATCTAAATCAGTCAATTTATAATAGAAACCTTCTGTTTTAGAATCTTTATCATATCTAGAACGTATTTGCGCATATGAAAACCAATTCATCTTTATACCTTGTTCCTCTAGTTTTTGTATAGATTTAGGTTCACCCTTTCCATTCAATATTTCACCATATCTAACTGTTTGTTCCTTTTTATATATTATAGGATAAGAAAATGCTTCAATAGTCGATAACCAGACTGGAATTTTCAAATAACATTGCCTTTTAGTCTTCTCCCCATTTAACCACAGAGCCTCCCGTACATAATGTCTTCTAAAGTACCCATGTGTTTTAGTTCCCTTGTACCATAGGAAGGCATGCCACCCCAACAACAAATCATGTCTTTCTAATGTCAGCAATCTAGTATTTCTTAATGTTATCAATTCTTTAACCCACATCAGATTTGTAGCTTGATAGTACAATTCCCAATTAGGCAAACCAAATCCTCCTCTTATTCTAGCTTCTTGCAAAAGTTTTAGTTTTATTCTCGCTTTCTTACCCTGCCATATATATTTCAACACAATTTTATTTAAATCTTCAAAGTAATCTTTCCCTAGCTTAATTGGAATTGTTTGAAACAAGTATAAAATTCTGGGTAATATATTCATCTTGATTGTTGATATTCTCCTTATTAATGATAAGTTTTCCCATTTCGTCAAATCTGTCGCTATCTATTGCTTGAGTTTAATATAATTATTCTCTTTAAGTGTGCTACATCTTGCTGTCAAATATACCCCCAAATACTTGATCTTATTTGTGACCTGAATTTTCCAAACGTCCGCCAATTCTTACTTTTGTCTTAATAACATATTCTTTGTCAAAATCTTTGTCTTATCTTTATTTATTTTCAGACCAGCTACCTTTCCATATACCTCTATCTTTTCTATCAGTTTTGATGCTGTTTCTAATGGATCTTCTAAAATGAAAACCAGATCATCCACAAATGCTTGCAATTTAAATTCTTCCTTTTTAATTTTCATCCCTTTTATATCCTTTTCTTCTCTAATATTTCTATTTAGCACTTCCAAAGTTAACACAAACAACAGAGGTGACAGTGGGCAGCCTTGTCTTGTTCCTTTTCTTATGTCAATAGAATCGGTCAATTCTCCCTCTATCATTATCTTTATTGCCAAGAACCTTCTTCAGCTCTGACTGGATGATGGGGAATGGAAGGATTTATACTCCTTGCAGACAGCTGAACATTTGTTAGTTAGTTAGTTAGTTAGTTAGTTAGTTAGTTAGTTAGTTAACTTTATTGTCATTGCACCTTGTACAATGAAATCAAACACCATCTTCAGTGCACATCATGACATGAAAATAAGCACAAACACACATCCTTCACCCTTCACACCTTGAACCGGAAACCCCCGACACCACACCAACACTGCACTATACAGCAGAATTCAAAAGAGCTACTGCCCTGGGATAGAAGCTGTTTTTCAGCCCATTTGTCCTTGTTTTTATTATTCTGTACTGTCTGCCAGATGCTAATAGATCAAAAAAAGGGTGCCCAGGATGAGATGGATCTTTAAGAATGTTTTGAACTTTCTTAAGGCAGCAAGAGCTATAAAGCTCTTCCAAAGAGGGGAGAGGGCAACCAATGATCTTCTGGACGTTAACCCTCTGGAGTGCTTTCCTATCTGCCACTGTGCAATTGGCAAACCATACAGACGTGCAGTAAGTTAAGATACTCTCTTTTAGTGAGTCGTTAAGTCCATCTGGAGGTTTATCAATGTCATCAGGGTCACCTGAATGGTGCAAACAGTGTGGAGCTTCTTGGAATTGTTGAAAGGACTGTGTTGTAGACTGGAGATAGATAATGTCTTATCCACCCCACTCTGTTGAGAGAGGGCTGTTCAATTTTGACATAGATGGCCTCTTTGACTCTTCTTTCTAAAAGAATTCAAATGATCAGCTGTCTGCAAGGAGTATAAACCCTTCCATTCCCCACCATCCAGTCAGAGCTGAAGAAGCTTCTTGGTTGAGAAGCGAAACGTCTTCAAAGAAAAACCAGAAAGTCCAGTTGCCTCTTGAAAAAAGCACCTTTGGGACAACCATGACCTGGATGACTGAGAAGAATCTCCATAGACACTTTGGGGAAAAAGTTTCAGTCGACTGCCTGGATTTTACAAAGACCATCACATCATACACTCTATATAGGAATAAGGATCTGCCATGCAGTGTTATGCAGCGGTACTTCTGGTTCCATTGTAAGCAATGATGCATGTTCTGTGCCTCCTGAAGACACAGAGGAGCTATTTAACAACGATTGCCACTATTGTCAATAGCACCTGGCTGCACAGCTTTCAGTGTGAATTTATTTACAGAAAGAACGATGACTGTGATGGTAGGGCCATCTCCTCATTACCGACAGCTCAGACTATCTTATTTATTATTCTATCAACCATCAAGAGTGGAGCTTTACAAAGTGATGACAGTTTCCATGGAAGTAAGAATTTTTAGAGGGAAGGAATTTCATAATGAGGCATCTTCCTAGTCACTTTCACAGTCCTACCCAATCTTAAAGCCACTCGATAGAGTGCTGTTTTTTTTTTAAAGAGGAGCACAAAGGTCTGCTTTTGACTAATGAAAAGTTTGTTGGTGGAAATCCAGTTAATTTGATGCTCTTTCATTTGATGTTATATGTCAACAGAAGCAATGTTGGGTCTGTAATGGAACAGGATCCCAGTTCACTAATCAGAGGTGTTCTTCTTGTTCTGGAACGGGAACAATGATGTACGTGAGTTCGTGTACTATTTTTTTATTTGCACTCTAGGCTTGAATGTGAGAAAATGATTTATTTGCACTCTAGGCTTGCATGTGAGTAAATAATGTAATAATGGATTGTCCTACATGATGCCAAACCTTTAAGCTAGACTGAGACGAGGAAACCAAGGTTATGATGCTAATTCTACTTTTATTATAAGGTTACAGCAATAAAATCATGTAAGTTTGAATATACCTTCCCCCTTCCCTCCTTTAATTTTGGTGAGAACTGTGAGGGTCCTGTCTAAATCATCCTAAGATGCTTCTATGACGTTTCTGCTTTGGACTCAGATTTCTTTTATCTAATATTGGTTGTGGCTTTTCCTCCTGTTCCTCAAGTTACTTTTTGACCCACATGCGTGTGTTCAAATATTGGAATAACATTTACACAGAACTGTGGTGGTGCAATGATTAGAATGCAGTATTGGAGGCTGACTCTGCCCACAGCCAGGACTTTGGCTCAAGATTGACTCAGCCTTTCATCCTTCTGAGGTTGGTAAAATGAGGACGGAGATTGTTGGGGGAAATGTGCTGAATTTGTAAACCACTCAGAGTGCTATAAAACACTACGGAGAGGTATATAACTCTTCAGTGCTATTGCTGTTGCTGCATCATCATCATTCTAGTCATTGTTTATCCACATTGTTTATCTTCTGCATGTTTCCAACCAATACGATCTTGAGCTTTCGGTTATCAACTGGGCCTGCAATACTTGCTGATGTTGTGGGTCCGTCTTGTTTTAGGTCTCTTTTGTGGACATAAAAACAGGTGGATTTCCTACCTGTACATACTGACTACTATTGCTATGTGAGGCCACATATTACTTCAGTTTGTTTAGTTGCTTCAGCCCCAATCACTGAAGTAATCTGCTTTGGAATGATGCCTCATTGAAAAATAAGACACCTGATGTTGGCTCCAGTTGAAAGCCCTGAAGTGGACCACTTCAGCTTGCTACTTTGCAGCATAGCTGTCTTCTGTGCATGTGATGTTGGGAACATATTGTCTAGAACAGGGCTGTCAAACTTGATTTCATTGAGGGCCACATTAGGGTTGTGTTTGATCTTGGGGGGCTGGGAGGTGTGGCCGGAAGGCCCTGGCCAGCTCAATGTCACTCGAGGTGCTGTTTTTGGCCACAACATCATCCTGCAGCCCTCTGCCAGCAAAAACGGAGCTCAGGGGAGCTGCGCGTGGCCCACCTGGGCTCTGTTTTCAGCCACAACAGCCTCCTGCAGCCCTCTGCCAGTGAAAAGGAAGCTCAGGGAGGTCCGCTTTTGCTGGCAGAGGCCAGTCCTTCACTGTTTCCAGGGCGGCCCCAAGGACCAGATCTAAGCACCCCGTGGGCCAGATCTGGCCCGTGGGCTTTGAGTTTGACACCCCTGGTCTAGAAGGAACTGTATCGCTTTGTGGAACTGCATTGGAGAGGCCTCATTCAAAGCAACAGGTCCCTATGAGGCTTTGCATGGATCTCCTGAGTAAGTATGCATGCAAAATAGGTTATTTATCTGTCACATCACCATGTGGACTTGAAGCAATAGACACGGAGCTTCCTGGTTTCAGATCTCACTCTTAAATTGAACTTACTAAGATTGTCTAATAGAGGAAGATAAAGAGGAGCAACATAAAGAGGAAGCATAATTTTGAATGTCCTTAGAGAAATAAGAACACATTAAGGAAACAGCATAAGAAGGTGCAATAGAAATGCTAATGTTACTTTTGTTGAAAGAACCAGAATCCTGAGCTAATTGAAATGTAGCTTGAAAAACAGCCCTCATTTTGATATACAGCTGTCTGAGAAACCAGAAAGAGAAAAATAAGTCTCTTTTGTTCTGCTCTGCATTTCAAATAAACATTTAGTGGCTTTCAGAAGCTACACCAGCATGGAAATCGAATACATCTCTAGTGAATCAAGAAAAGATCCTTGCTTGGATTGTGTGTCTCCTCCAGTTCTGTTTGGGCCTTATAAACAAGTATGGAAGTGACCATGTGAGCTATGATGAGCAGCCCCACTGGTTCTTTAAAGTTGCACTGGAGTTGTCAATGTAGAGCTGGTTTCCATGAATATAATGCAGTTTTCTATAGCCAGGAGTCCTTGAATGTACTGTAGATTTGTCCAGTATGAAGGCTTTGATTGATACCTGTGATGGTATACAGTATCATCCACCTCCAAAATCTGCTAATTCCTGAGTTTCCCAGTTGGCAACAATGATAGCAGTCAGAAATACCTGTCTGGAATGAGTCAGTATTTAGTTTATCCTAACTAAAAAGTTTTATTCTAACACCTACCAGATCCAGCAGATGGTGCCATTACCCAGCAGAATAGCCGAACAAAAAAGGGAGCTGTATTTATTTATTTATTCTTGAATTCCTATAGATAATTTCATCCCATAAAGGAAGGAATTGCTATTATTATCTAATATCTAAGCCATTGGAAAAAAGAAGTAAGAAGGAACTTAGATACTTGTGAAATTATACCTTGGGCATTTAAAAGTTTTCTTTTGCCAATTCTGTTTATTTTTCCTGTATTTTGGAGACAGTACATAGACTGTCGTATTTTTGCATTATGTTATTACAGGCAATTTTTTCACTTGTCTATCACTCATTTGGGAAACCCAAAGGCTTCTAGGCTTCTTGATTCATAAATAAAACTTCATATCAACCGATTTTATTCTATGTAGCTGCTGGAATTCATTGTTAATTAGTTTCTTGCTAGAATAGATGAAGAAATATATTACTTTCATCATTATTGTACTTTTGATCCACCCATATTACCAGAGTTCTCAGGATACATTAGAAAGTTATATAAAATATTAAATACATAAATAATACGAAACATTAAATAGTACAGGAAATGTATAATACAAAAGACTAGTCTCTCTTCCAAGGATATTGACCAGGAAATAGATGTAAGGTCACTAATGTGGTATGATGGTTTAATTGTGAAGCTGCAATTAAGAGATCCAGGTTGAAGTTTGCACTTACAACTCTGGATAGCTTTGGACTACAGGTAATCATTGATTTACAACAGTTCATTTAGTGACTGTTTTAAGTTACAGCGGCACTGAAAAAAGTGACTTTTGACCGTTTTTCATACTTACAACCGTTGTAACATCTACGTGGTTGCATGATCAAACTTCAGACATTTGGCAACTGAGTTACATTTATTTAGGGTTCTAGGGTCATCTGATCACCTTTGAGACCTTCTGACAAACAAAATCAATGGGGGAGCCCGGTTCACTTAATTGTGTTACTAACTTAGCAGCTGCAGTGATTCACTTAACTGCTTAGTGGTTCACTTAACAACTGTGGCAAGACCGGTCATAAAATGGGGCAAAATTAACAACTGTCTCGCTTAGCAACAGATAATTTGGGCTCAATTGTAGTTGTAAGTTGAAGACTACCTGTATTCTCTCTTAGTTTGTAGTGTACATATAATGAGTTGACACACACATGAACGACCCTTGAATTCCCAGAAGAAAGTATTAAGAAACAGTCTTAACATAAAAAGAAACAGTCTTTTAGCAAAATTGACTCTGGTGATTTTCTTGGCAAGACTACAGAAGGCCCCAGAGGAAAGATAAGAATTAAATGTAATGATTGATGCAATCAATAATGTCCCTTTGTCCCATCCACACACACCTGCATGTTCCACATGTACATCTCAGTAACCCAGTCTGTCCAGGGATCATCTTCCTTATTAGGAAAATGACTTCAGAAATTCAATGAAAGTCTTGAGATGGAGAAGATTCACCAGCCATCTTACAGCTTTAGACCTTTCACAGGTTGTACAGCCCAAGCTCAATGCATCCTGGCTTTTGCCAAATGTCATCATTTATTGAGTCGTTTTGACCTAGTTCCATGTAAAATATGAATTGTAGGCAACCTGAGGGTACAGTATCCTGAGGAAAACATCCTGAAATTGAACAGGCATACCCTTTTCCTGCTATTTGTGGTGCTTTTTTTAAAATTTAGATGCAAAACAATTTGTGTTCCTCACAAGAATTCTGAAAGGGGTTCTTTCTGCCTCTTTAAAAGCAGTCTTTTTGGTCCAGTGGCTCATCTTAGAATCTAGAAATTAAGGGGAAAATATCCCTGAAATTGGCAGGGAAAGATGGAAAGAGAAATTAACTTCCTCTAGTGGCTTAGTTAAGTAACTTACTATAGAAGAAGATGGGATGAAACTACTGTACATCAAAAAGAAATAAACTGACGTTTCTTTAAGGAAGTGCTAGTGGGTTTTAAGCCTTAAAATAACTTAAAAGGTTCATTCTTGTTAGATTTCTCCAGCCTAACTGCTGCATGGATCCTGCTGTTATTTCCACTCTCTGAAAATGTCTTCTTGTCTCATTTCCTTCATAGGTGCAATGACTGTTCTGGCCTGGGGACAACTGCTTGTACAGACTGTGGAGGAACAGGAAAGTTGCTGACATACATTGAGCTGCAAGTTGAATGGCAAGTTCTGCCAGCTTATAGACTGAAGAACAGCCTTTCTCATTCCAGCCTTTTGTTTCTCACAGAGGTCCAAAGATTCCTTTGGGTGTTTCCCAAGTAGGAGATAGAGACATAACAGTCTCCTGCAGTTCTCCTTTTCACTCTTCCTTGCAAATTTGGATCCACACTGTTCCCAGCCCGGAAGTAACATGGAGGCATCAAGTCTTGGTAGTTTTTGATAGACCTGTCCTGAAAGAATTGTTTAATCCACTTTCTTTCAGAGACATCCAATTTGCAAGCCATATTTATGCAGTGGGTTGGTTGCTGGGTTATTTATTGGTTTGGTTGCTCAGTTATTTATTTACAGTTTACAAAGAGAAGAAAAAAAAGCAAAATGCATAGGAATTACAAATTGTAGGCATGATTTAGAAATGTTTCTAAAGCAAAATGAAGTAAAATTAAAAGAAAGGGGGAAAACCATTCAATTGGAAGAAACATCTCAGTTTTATTCTTACATATATGTCAGACAAGACAAAAATGTAGATTTTACCATTTTCAAAACTTATATTACATTGCATTATTACTAAAATCAAACAATAGGTTAATTGTGAGATATTGTAGATTTCATTCTCTGATAGATAGATAGATAGATAGATAGATAGATAGATAGATAGATAGATGGATGGATGGATGGATGGATGGATGGATGGATGGATGGATGGACGGACAGACAGACAGATATATCATAAGCAATCATAGTTAGTTTTAGTGGGCCCAAGTCTTGAATGTGACAGAAAGCTGTGTATAAAATTGTACTCCATGAACAATATCTAGGTTAGATTATAACATAAGGCTTGTTTCACATGTATGAAGTTATTTGGGCTGTTGATGAAAACTCCCATAATTTAAGCTATCATTCCTCTAAGGAAGCATTTCAGTGTGACCATTTGGAATTTTGTGGAGCCTCTACAAATGGAAGACCTCCAATTCATGTCAAAAACAGTTATAATAGTTAAAATCTTGAAAATTGGACTTCAATCTTTTGTTGCTTAACTTGGCAGTACAAGACTAGATTAAGGCATTGACCTGTATTTCAGAGCCACCATTAACTATCCTTTTAGAAGCAATGCAGGGGTTTCACTTCATTTTATCTCTTTCACATAATACAACATAATCATGGCTAAAACATACAACGAACGGTTGCAGGAACTGGGCTTGGCTAGTCTAGTAAAGAGAAGGACCAGGGGAGACATGATAGCAGTCTTCCAATATTTGAGGGGCTGCCACAGGGAGGAAGGGGTCAAGCTATTTTCTAAAGCTCCTGTAGGCCAGACAAGGAATAATGGATGGAAACTGAACAAGGAGAGATTTAACCTGGAAACAAGGAGAAACTTTCTGACAGTGAGAACAATCAACCAATGGAACAGCTTGCCCTCGGAAGTTGTGGGAATGCCATCAGTTGAGATTTTCAAGAAGAGATTGGACTGCCATTTGTCAGAAATGGTGTAGGGTCTCCCGCTTGGGCAGGGGGTTGGACTAGATGACCTACAAGGTCCCTTCCAACTCTGATTATCTGTATCTGTATATGGCTGCCTCATTGCTGATCTATATTAGAAGCAGTTGACCTTATTCTTCCGACACAGAGTTTTTCTGAATCTAATTTGCTGTGAAAATAGAGCATGCACTTTGTAAACAGTGTTGTTTGCCTTCACAGGAAAAATAACATATTTGAATACGTGGTGGATGAAAGAACTGGGTTTCCTACTGAACTGTTCAAAGCAGTTAAAGGGAAGAAGCTATTTGTGGATGAGCAATACTTGGTAATGAAATATTTATGGTACAAGCAGGAGGGCTTACCCTGTGGCAGGATTGAAAAAAGCAATTTGAATGCATGTATTTACACACTTATGCATGCGTGAATATATATATGTGTGTATGTTGCACAGACACTCAGGGCAACTTATAACAATTAAAAATAGCACAATATAAATATCAGTAGTCCTTGATTATGACTGGTTGCTTAGAAACTGTTCAAAGTTATAATGGATCCCTCCCAAAAGGTACTTATGAACCAGTTCCAAAATTCTGAAGGCCCCCTCCAATCACGTGACTGCATTTCAGGCAGACAGCAATTGGCTCACATTTATAACTTGTTTGCAGTTTCTGACAGTTACATAACCATAATTTACAAAAAAAAATGGCTGAAAATTAGCATTTACTTCACGTTGTTTTTTTTTTTTGCAAAAATGCCCCATAGCAAAGTTCGCTTAACAACTACTGCATTTGCTTAATGACTACTGAAAAAAAGGGTCATAAAACAGGTAGTCATGTGATGATCCTCTTTATGATTGTCAAGACTTACAACAATAATGGACAAGTTCTGTTAAGTGGTAAGTCAAGAACTTCCCGTATTGTGCCCTTTCTGCTATAGTCTCCATCTTACAAAACATCCTTCCTCTGGAGATTAGAATGGCTTTGACCCTGCTGGACTTTTGTAAGGTCTTCAGACTTGATTCTGTGCCCAAGGTGGAGTCCCTGAGTATGTGCAGGGGCAGGTTTCTTGGTTCTATTAGTAGTTTGGGCTATGATGTTTCTTGGCTGCTGTGTATTTTAATTTTTATAACATTTGTTATTTTTTTTAAAAAAAAAACCTTTATTTTAATTTTGTTCACTTCCTAGAACCACTTGTTGAGATGGCCAGTCATATAAATCCAATGAATGAATGAAAAATAAATAAACTCCAGCAATATACCTTCGTCCATTTATCCGTGGACCTGTCAGTCTATCCGGCACTGGATGGAAACTTATCAAAGAGAGAACCAATTTAGAAATAAGGAGAAATTTCCTGACACTGAGAGCAATCAATCAGTGGTATGGCTTGCCTTCAGAAGTTGTGAATGCTCCAACAGTGGAGGTTTTGAAGAAGAGAGTGGACAGCCATTTGTCCAGAATGGTATAGGGTCTCCTGCTTTGGCAGGAAAGAAGGTTTGGAAAGAAGACCTTCCAACTCTGTTATTCTATATTCTACTTATCTTCATGAATGTTGTTTATGAAGATCCAGCCCACTATTTAGTACAAGGGTCTTCGAACTTGGCAAGTTTAAGACTTGTGGACTTCAACTCCCAGAATTCCTGAGCTAACATGACTGGAGGAGGAATTCTGGGAGTTGAAGTCCACAAGTCTTAAAGCTGTCAAGTTTGAAGACCCCTGATTTAGTATATATCCTTCTTTAATGGTACTGATCTCAGCAGTCCCTTTCTTCATTGTAAATACAATCACCGGCCATCAACACATCAATCAACCAATAGGAAGGCACCACATAAATATGATGCATAGAGCAGCCCAAAGCACATATTCCATTTGAGAGAATGTTCCCTGAAGATGAGCTGCAGCACGAGTCCGAAAGCTCAGAAGAGTAAAAAACTCTGGTCCCAATGACTAACCCAAATTAGATATTATAAATACTTAACTGTTGTCCAGTGCATCTGAAAAATACCAAACCAAAGGTAGCTTTTATCCCAGTTTTCATTTTTGGGGTTAATTTATTGTTTCATTGAATGTCCATCCACATCATCCCATGGATGTGTTTTCCTCCTGTCTCTGCTTACTTTCTTAGTTACTTAATTTGCTTATTTTAATTTGTATGGTGGTCTGGGGACTTAACAGTGTTAAAAATATCACAGCACGAAAGCAACGGTTGAAAAATAAAAAAAATGTAATGTATTTGTGACAAAGCATGATTCTCAAATACGTACATTTACAGTGAGCTTATATGTTCACTTGACCCAGTGCCTGGGGGCAAGAATCAAGTCTTTGAGGGTTTCTTAAAGGCTGGAAGGATGAAGAAATCAGAGAGGGGCCTTTTTTTAGAGCAGGGACTGCAAAAGAGAAAGGTGCCTTCTGGATACCATCAGATGATATACTATTTAATTGGTAGGACCTGGATTATGCCAGTCCTGTTGTATGTTGTACGATAGGCAGAAATCATTACAGTCCCTCGAATATTCAGCTCTGGGCTGTGTAGGACATTACGGATGTCAATCAGTACCTTGAATCAGTACCTTGTATTGGCAACCAGTGAAGTTCACACAGTTATAGCGTTACATGGATGTATTGAGACACCCCTATATCTACTTGCACTGCTGTGTTCAGGACTAGCATTAGCTTCCCAGGGCAGCCTTGTATAGAGCACACTGCAGGAAAAGCATCCAGCCAGTAAAAACATTCAGTGACCCAGACTCTACCCTGCAAGAGATTATGGAGTCATTAGAAGAAGATGATGAGTTATGTTTCTATTAGTGTAGGGCAATAACATTAGTCATCCCTTCTTTTTATTACTCTAAAGTTTTGTATCTCCTAAAAATGTTGTTTTCCTAGGTTCATCCAGTGACAAATTTCCCTATCAGTGCTGTTAATCAAGCTTCCCGAAATGCCATTGAACAACATCAAGCTCAGTTTGGATCCACCACACGGATATTGAGACAGGTGAGAGCAACAGAGATTGGCAAAACTTTTTTTGTAATAGTGAGGTTCCACCACAGTACTATGGATTAACTGATTTATACTCCCTTCTGATAAGGAGTATAAAGAAAAGGAAAATATGTGATGGTGGCAAATATCTGTAGCTCGGCTATAGGATGAGGGTGGAGGTTCGTTCTCCCAGCTTGTGGAGAAGCCACGTTCGGAGACCAACTCACAGGCTCGGAGAACGAACCTCCACCCTCAAAGGGAAATATCTCAGCATGGAGCTATTCCATTCTCACAGGAGGCCATAATAAAATCTTTTAATGTGTGTTATTAATTTGTTGCCCTTGTGTCGCTGAGCAAATTGTGCATGATGTAAGGGTACATCTATACCCCAAATATGTGGTTCTTAGGTCTCCTGTTAAAGCCGCATGCAAATTAAAACTTAAGGAAATAGAATTAAAAATTTACTAATTGTATTAAACTAAAATTAATTATTTAATTTTTATAATTTAAATTTATCCGGCTGCCTTTTAAAATGCAGCTTGTGGCTTATTATTCAAAGAGGTGATATAGTCTCAACTCCAAAACTTACTACTAGGGACTCTTCTAGTTCCTACAATCTATTCTTGTTTTCCAATTCCTTTTTGTGTTTCATGTTAGATTTATATCAATTAGGGATGGAGACAACTCTAGGACTGTGAAGCTTCTGCATATTCTTTTTAAGGATAAAACATCTATGATTATGGGCAGAGGAGCTGGGTTGGGTGAGGGGCTTAAGTATTTGTCACCTTGTCATTTCTATCATTTCAAAACAAAGTTGATAGGAATCAAGGGGTACAAGAGGTAGAGAGATTTTGACCTACATTGAAACTTTAATATATTGTCCAAAATGCTTATTTACTGGAATTATAAATCTAGGACCACTGTTTTTACTGCAAGTGAGCCACAAATTGCAGTGTTATTCTTCTTGTGAGGACAAAAAACCTAGATTGCAATAAACACCTCGAGCAGTTTCTTGTTCTTTGCTAGTATTAATGTCTCTGTCAAAAGGAAGATTCAGTGCCAAGACTTCCTTTTTAATATACTTTGGTACTATTTCCCATGTAGCCACATCTCAAAGCAATTTACACTTTAATAACATGATTAAAAACTAATCCATATATCTTAAAAAATATACAGCGTATTCATTATGCTTGAGTGGGAAAGAAAACAAAAAGATGCAGAAAAAGCTTAAATTACAAGAAATTGTCTGTATGGACACCCTGATGGATGTACTAGGAAGTACAGAGAGTCCAGAGATGCAGTCTTCTACATAAAATAAATGTTTTAATTTAATTAATTAAAAGAATAAATGAATGAGATATTTTAAAAGAATATTGCAGAATTATTTCCAGTAGCTGCAACTTCCTGAGTGATAAACAGTGATTGATATGAAGGAGGTAGAGAGACAACACATATACTGCCTTAATACCAATAGCACTTAGACTTATATACCACTTCACAGTGCTTTACTAAGCCCTTTCTAAGCGTTTTACAGAATCAGCCTATTGCGCCCAACAATCTAGGTCCTCATTTACTGACCTC